CTCATGGATGACTTATATTGCTTACATTGCAGTAATGCTTATAGCATTAATATTGCTCTCATGCAAATGCTTTCTGTCAGCTTAAACATCTCTCCTTTTTTCCTGTTTCTTTGCTGCACTGTGTGTGCATAGCAAACATATCCCTTCTCCAGCTTTACGTTAGTAGGTCGAGCCAAGCCCTTCCCTGCCACTGTTTTCCGATGGGCTCTGCACTTCCTGTCGCCCTCGCACTTCCCTTCTCACCTCTATCCACTTGATTTGATCTCCTTGCTGTGCAGGCAACCTTCAACTTCTGTTCCACCTGTTCTTACCACCTCTTACTGATTTACCACATTTTCTGCTTTCTCATCTTCCTCAGATTAACTTCAGAGAGCTGCTTGCCAGCTTAGTAGAAATCCTTCTTAATTTGGATGGCTCTCCTATGACTCCGTATACTGTGCAGCAATCACATCTGCCCCTGGTTCTACCCTGCCCCACCCCAGCATTATCCTTACTTTTCTTCATCTGAATTACCATCCCTTCTGCTGACAGTTCCCAAATCTATCACCTTTCCATGGGCTTCCCATTTCTGATCCCCTCTCTTATTGCCCTGTCCTGGACAATGTTCCAAAGTCTCATTTTCAGCTTCAAAACCCTTCTCCACTCCCTTTCTTATGCTGCCTTTGAAAACCGTGTACTCTGTCCACTTTAATGAATTTTCCTTCCTTATTCACAAGGAGTTAAATGTTCCAAAGGGCTACTGTGCACTGGGAACATAATCCACACCAGACATGGCGTAGGTACCTAAATCTTTCTGAAGGCCAGGCAGGGGCAGAGGCTCAGCTGTGTCCAACACTTTTCAAAATGCAGCAAGGGTGTCCTTGACAATGTTATCTCAGACTCTATAAGTTCTATTATTTCCCCTGCAAAACAGTATCACCACCACACTTTTCCTTCCTCTTCCAATGACCAAATGCTTACCCCTCTGGTCTGTCCAAAGGACAGCGATTCGCCTTCTTCCAGCCATGGCAGTTGCCATTGCCACTCATATCTTATCTTATCTCTTCTCACTATCAGTTTGATGCTTTGCCTTGCCTTCAAGGTCCTGCCTATCTCCTTCATATCACCTTCCTGCTCACTCCAGCTTTCTCCTACACATAAAGCATTTCCTCTTCTGCTGCCCTGCCTACTCTCAGAGCTTCATGCTTCACTTTGCTCAGCCACTCAGAATTGCAGCTGGTAAAAATACGCAGCTGGGATTTTTCCCGATTAAAATAATAATAATAAAAATGTTTTGACTAAACTGAAATCTTATTGCAAAAATCATAAATTCAATTAAAATAATTCAAGGGGAAACATAAGACTTTTCCATTTTATAAGTGTAAATGTTTTAACATGCACCTATTTCTTTAATAGCAGTTTTCACTCTGTTATAGGCTTCATCAAACAATCAGGTTTTTTTTATGTGTTATGTGTTAATAAATTATGAATCAACCTAATGCACAAAGGCTTCAAAAACATGTTAAAAAGCATATCTTTAATTGGAAAAATGAAGTGTTTCAATCACAAGAAGAAATAAAGACAGTTGACCTTACTGATTTGTGAAACATAAATGCAAATAAAATGTAGTTACATATGTGAGGACATACTGTTGACATGCTATTCATCACACAATAGAGAATAAACTAAAACAAAGTTACATGAAAATAATGTTCCAAAAGTTAATTCTGCACAAAATAAAAGAAAGAAGAAGAAAAAAAAAAAGGTCTCCCTTAGGTAATAAAATGAATTGTGTGTTTGGAGGCAGGATGCTGCCCTGGTAACCGGCAGCATTTTGAAAACCTCCGAGGACTGGGCTTTTCTTTCTGACACTGCTACTGGCGGGTGCCAGTTCATTCATAAGCTTATTTCTCTTTTATTTCAAGCCCATTTTCTAACTTTTTTTCTTTTCCTGTATGTCTGGAGTAATTAGTTCTTCTGTTCTTGGGCTGTTCAGCCAGCAGCCTGGGAAGCTACTTTTGTTGGGAGCTGCTAGAGGCTGGCAGAGAACTGGTTAGTAACTAATAGTGGTCACATTTAGAATCTGTCACATGCTTGTTTGAAGCTCTTAGGCAAATCCCTTGGGGTTCTCTGTGCTCCTACAAATTAGGGAAATGATGCTTACTGCTTGTTGAGCTTGATGGATGACAAGTGTAAACTTCGGCTGACTTAGCATCACCCCCATGGTAATATCCATTATTACATAAAACAAAAATAATTTCAAATAATTATATATAAGAAAAAAAATCAAGCCTTTTTTGTATCAATATTTTGTCCTGACCATGTGTCCTACATGTGCTAATATATACTTTCAAAAACAGATATATCCACTTAAATAAAGTCTGCTTAAAAAATTCCTAGAAAGACATATAGCTAGCTATTAATCCTTAGTTTGCTCAGAAAGTCAATACATTACAAATAGAGATGGACATAACCAGACTGTAATGTACAGGTTGATATCAGCTGAAAGAAAAGAAAAAAACAAAATTATATAGCACCTGCTAGAACGAATTGTAAATATTAAATTTAATGCATCTATGCACATATATTAGGGCCTATCATTATATATGTCCAGCTATAAATGTCCTCTCATGGAGACACAGAAACTTTTAAATTTGTTTGTTGCTTAAATTAGGGGTGGCTCTGAGGAAGGACAGCTCAAGCAAACACGCATTAGAAGGAGAGCACCTGTTCACGTGTTATCGTTGCTGTCTTCAAACAAGTCATATTTGATATTTGCTTCACAGAATGTGTTTATAAGCCCTTTCATCTCTTTTCCTGTTTATCTCAGCTACGAAGCCCTCTATTTGTCTCAAAATAACTCTTCTGTAACTGCTAGCTGCCCATTCAACATTTGTGAATCGCCACATCTCAACCGTCTCCCCAAGCAATGGAATAAACCTTGTGCAAACACGCAAGCCCAGGAGAGGAAGGGACACAGGAGAAGGAGAAGGGGACCAGGACCTGCTGGGAGAGCAACGGCATCTTGCCATGTCAAAGGTAACGTCCATTCATATCTAATGTGCTGTCGTTAAAGTAACTGGCTAATTCTCGTAATTTTGGTAAGAGACACCTGCAACATTGCATCTTCCTTGACAGCCTCTGGATAGCTGTTTTTTTGGTCTGTCTATTTGGGCCACCTGATGTGCCCAAATGGGGAGAAAATGGAAAAGACTGTGCTCGGGAATGAGCTGCCAATGAAGAGATGGCTCACATAGCATGAAGGCAATCTGGAAGTCCAAGGTGGATCATCTCTGATCTGTGCAGCCCAGGAAAAATGCTTCTGAATCGTGCCAAATTCAGAGGCACCTCATATAGATGTAGGTATTATGTATCTATTCCATCTATACATTAACACTCATTTTATTTTGATCATTTCTGACTTTTTTGCTGCTAAAGTTACGGACTGCTTTTTCGGAGCCTCCAACAAGCAACTTGGAAAAGCAAGGCTATTTCTGGGAAGCTTACAATGACTGTGTGTTTGGCCATCATGCATGAAAAAAAAGAAAGATGAAAAGAGTTAGTAGTACATACCTTTCTGCCCATAACTTGCCGTAGAAACTGTCATTATCCTATAACTCAGAATCTTGAGAATCTTAGGAGTCTATGCCTTGAAACAAAATTGAAGTTAATAATAGTCCTATGCACAGTTGAAAGTTTTACACAAGCGTGTACTCTCAATGTAGATTGCAGTATTTTGCACTTTTATTCTATTATTATTATTCCTAAACAAAGATTTTTGCAGGATGGAGGGCTGTATTTGTGACGGGTTTCTCTACATTACATATTGACTGGTAGAAAAAGTCCTGGTGCCTCAGGGAAAGTGGAGGCAGTTCAGTGCAGTAAGAGCAGCATCCACACCAGGAACAGTGCCAAATACTGGCCCCAGTGCCCCCTTTACGGCACTTTTCTGGATCGTTTCCCTGCACAAGGTGGCTCAGCCAGCCTAGAAGGGATGGATTTTCAATACAAAAATGAGCTTTGAATAAGATTATTTTCACCTTTGTCTCACTTTCCATTCACCTGAGCTGCCCAATTGCAGTTTTTTACTCCAGCGAGCATATGCTCTACATTTAAAAAATTAATCACTGTCATTCTCATTATTGCTGCCGCCAACAGCAATGATTATTACCAAAGACTGTGTAAAAATAATACTCTGTCTGCTGGGGTATTTTAAGTTCTTCTAAGAGCAAGCGTAGCATAGGTGAAACACAACAAACATATAAGGTCTTTAAAAGTGGGAAGTAAAACTCCTTTGAAATTCTATCTTTTGAAAGAGTCAATACTTAAAGTACAAACCCCTAACTTTGCAGATCATATCCCCTTTTACAGTTGTGAGGTGCCATCTGAAAGAAAACGGGGGCTAAAGCACTGACTCACTTTTGGAAAACAGGTTAGAAAATTTTAAAGCTGTATTCGTTGCAAGTCTTCAGAAATTACAAAGCGAGATCCCCTCCCTTGCAAATAGTATTGGCTTTCTCTAAGCTAAAAGACTAAAGTTGGGCAAAACAGATGGGAACCTGAAACTGCCGCTTTGTGCTGGCAGATGCAGCAGGTAGTTGCGTGCTGGTGCTGTGGGCATTGCCATGCAGCCCCGTGAGCACCTGACTGCTGCTTTATGGTGCAGGTAAGAAAGTCCCTTTCTCAGTGTCAAGCTCAAGGCAACCCAGATTGTTAGATCAGGCACGGGTTTTGGACCACTTTGAACTGTCAGGACTATTTGGACCACAAATTGTTTCTCCTCACTATAATGTAGAGGAACTAGCATGGTGGCACGGTGGTTTTCGGGGCACTCAAGAGTGTCTTGGGTCAAACTGATGCATACACAGCAGTGACTGCGGTGGAGCCAGTGTGTGGTGGGGCTGCCCACCGACCCGCTGGCCCCAGGCAGCCCAGAGCAGCGGGACCCAGAGGCGCCTGGGAGGTCCGTGCCAGGAGAGCCAGCCCTTCATCCCTCATTCTTCCCTGCGCAGGTATCCGAGATGATTCCCACCAGCCAGTTCCCCGACACCACAGAATACGACTATGCATACGATGAAAACACTGCTCCGTGCAATGAAGGAAATAGTTTTCATCGGTTTAAGTCCCTCTTCTTGCCAATCCTTTACTGCCTCGTGTTCATCTTCTGCCTACTGGGAAACTCCTTGGTCCTTTGGGTTCTTCTGACCAGGAAGGGGCTGACCACGATGACTGACATCTGCCTGCTCAACCTCGCAGCCTCCGATATGCTCTTTGTTTTGCCTCTCCCTTTCCAAGCCCACTATGCTTCAGATCAGTGGGTTTTTGGCAATGCTATGTGCAAGATAACAGCTGGCATTTATTACACAGGCTTTTACAGCAGTATTTTCTTTATAACCCTCATGAGCATAGACAGGTATATAGCAATTGTCCATGCAGTCTACGCTGTGAGGATACGGACGGCCTCTTGTGGCATAATTATCAGTTTAGTCCTGTGGCTGGTGGCTATCTTGGCATCTGTACCCAACATCGTGTTCAACCAGCAGTTGGAGATTGAGCAGTCTGTTCAGTGCATTGCCACATATCCCCCAGGTGACAATACCTGGAAGGTCGCCACCCAGTTTGTGGCCAATATCCTGGGCCTCTTGATTCCCCTCAGCATCCTCGTTTACTGCTATGCCCAGATACTGAAAAACCTGCAAAAATGCAAAAACCGGAACAAGATCAAGGCAATCAAGATGATTTTCATCATTGTCATCGTTTTCTTCCTCTTCTGGGCACCCTTCAATATTGCTCTCTTCCTCGATTCCCTGCAGAGCCTGTACCTCATCAATGACTGCAAGGCGAGCTACTGGATAGCCCTGGCCCTGCAGCTGACTGAGACCATTTCCTTCATCCACTGCTGCTTGAACCCTGTCATCTATGCGTTTGCTGGGGTGATGTTCAAGGCCCATCTTAAAGGAATATTTCAGTCCTGCATTCGTCTCTTCTGGAGTCCTGCTGGAGGCGTGGGGCCTGGTCAGTCACTTTCGGCAGCCACCCAGCTCTCTGGCAGCTCTGACAGCAGTGGGGTGCTGTAGCCCCCCGGGCTGCCTTCTTCTGGGGGGAATCGCTGCCCTAAGCGCTGGCACAGCCCCGTGGGCTATCTCATGGCGGCATCGTCCTGGGGTGTCCCCAGCATACGCGTGTTTCCTCTCAGGATGAGCTGTGAAATACCACACAGTCAGCCACAATGTTAACTTTCTGTGACCATCGGCACATTTGTAATATGGCAATCCTCCAAGCTTGCTCAAGAACAATCTTTAACTGAGTTTAGATTTTTTTTTTAATATACTTAGGCAAACAGGGTGCTTCCCTGAGTACATATTTTCTCCTCTGGTGGAAGTATTGCTTTTGCCTCACTCCCAAATACGCTCTGACCTGCAGGAGCTATTTCATACATGAATTGCTACATCCCTGCGACAGGAATGGGACATTCCTCTGGGAGGTAGGGAAGGGGACAGATATGGGATTACTTTGTACTGCAAAGAGGGAATCATCTCAGCCACTACCATCACTGCCTCCCTCTGCCCCATCTTGCAAGTTAAGGGGTGGCTCATCTTGAGCCTTCATTGCTTCTCTGCGGGAAGCCCCTGCGGATCCGGCCCAGATCAGCCTTTTACTGCAACGCCTTCCAAAACAGCAGATCAACCCCTCCAGGTGTTCCCTGCACTGGTTACTTGTAGCCTAGGTAAACTGAATATGTCAGCACCAGCTTGTGTATAATCTAAGGAGGTGGTGTCCTTCAGCTCTGTGCCCTCTCCATTTGCTGTCAGATGTAAATATCACAAAATAGCACTTACCACGTTAGCTCAGAGTCTCTTTCTCCATATGTTATTTTCTGCCATTTTAGAAATGTTTTCTTGAATAAAATATATTAACTGTATCTTTGTATGTCTTGGTTGCTGAACATTTTTCCAGAGACCTGAAATCCCAGATTAAGATAAAGAAAGGATTTTCCATACATCTGATGGAATTGAGAGGTACCCTGGAGCTCCCCAGCAAAATACATCTTGTCTCCACTTCCCTGCTAAGCACCATTTGTTCTCAAAATCCCAACAGAAATTCGCAATGAAAAAGTAACATCATGCCACTCTTATGCTGAGTCACTGAGGTTTAAATAGCACAAAATTGAATATCAGTTTTGTTACTCAGCTGCCCGGAAGAGATGTAAATTTGACCAAAGAGGGAGTGCTGGTCCTATCTGGACTACATGGGATTTACAGGACTAAGGATCTGTCTTCAACGATATAAAGTATCTGTGGAGAGTCCCCCATCTCTAGAATTTGGGAAGTGATTGTGTCCTGATTTTTGGTAGCTTTTTCCTGATTGAAATTGAATTGAGGTGTGAAATAGCAACAATTTGCGTTGATCGATTTGTTTTGTCAAGAACTGCACACACGCCAAAACAGAACAAAACAAAACATCCTGTATCGTTCACTGACATCATGGAATTTTGCAATTAGGAACTTAAAATGTGTCAAAGATACTCTTGCATCACTGAAACATCAGTGTTCCCAGCAGAAGACTAGGGCTCACTTTGGATTACAAGAGAAGGTCCAAGTCCAAACTCTTCGGTTCCTATGACTCTTTCATACAGCTTTCACTGAAATCAAGGAGTGAAGAGAGCAGTAGCAGAATTTAGCCTAAATTGTAGGTGAAGCTACAAATGAAAAAGGTTTTGCTATGCTCACTGCAGAGCTTTCTCTTCCTCTTCCTCCTTCTCCACTGCTTCATTTAAACCCCAATTAAGAATCCCAAACCCCTGCCCTCTGTTCAAGCACAGCTCCAGTACCCTTGATTTCTAGTCAATCAAGACAGCAGATTCTTAGAACTTTTCCTTTCAAAAATATCTTCCTCTGTCTAAGGTCACTGCAAAAAGAAATAATGCAAGTAGCTATTTTGCTCCTTTTATTACATGAAGTACCAGAACTGACACACAAAAACCCATCAGCATTAAATGTACCCCTGCAGGGTACAGCTCTCAGAAGCAGTACGCTTCTCCTTTAAATGAGTAATTTAATTCTTAATATAGGCAGCCCATCAGACTTTTTGCTACTCTTGCAAGTCATCAGCAAGTAAAGAGTCTAGGTAGAGCATAATAGTGTACCCATTTTTTTGTACTTCTGTGCCCTGATACAATTACCGATAACAGCACTACTAGATCAAAAGCAATATACTATATGTATATGTACACTGTATCTATATGTAGAATAATATTGAGGAACTGGTGCTGCCATTTCCTCCATTGTGTTTTATGTAGGAACTTGTCAACAACAATCCAACCTCTTCCACAAACACAGTATTCCCCTTGATATAAAGCAGGTAGCAGAAGGCTATTCTTATTTTGAAGTTATCACACAAAGCAAAATTAATAAAAAGCAATTTTATTTTTTTCCATTGTTTCCATGAAAAGTTGATTATTATTGTGAAGGAGGTGGAATGAGTTAAAAATTACTGCTGTAGAACAATCTCCTACCTAGATGCTGCACAACTACCACAAATAGTGGTCTCCTGGAACTGATGTGTCACATCACACCTACGAGCGGTATCAGATTGTCAGCTAAAGTTCTAAGTACGACGTCTCATATGTGGTCACATTTCCCTAGCTACTTCTAAAATGTGTCTGAATCTGCTTGAACTTTCTACCTCTTGATTTTCATTTAACATGTTTCATAATCCCTCACTTTCCTGTTTCATGTTTCTCTGCCTTTTTGAAGTATAAAGCCTATGACACTATGACAGGAAAACCTGATCTTAGTCTTATCTACCTGGCAGCATAAAATAAAAGATTCAACTTTGTGAGTGCTCAGAAATTTGACCCATTTAAAAAAAATAGAATATAAAAAATATATATATTTAGCAGTGCCAAGCAGAACTAGGAAAGAAAAAGAGGTCTCCTGTAAGTGGTGCTGGTGATTCCTGCTCACTTTTCTCCAGCCTGAGGTTGCAATGTTCACAGGATTTACAATGTTCTTCAATCACATTGGCTTGTTATGACAGCCCTTATGAGCCCTTAAGAGCTCTTATGTCTCTTATGAGACAGCCCAACCTTAAGAAGTGAAATTGAATTTTAGATGTGTCTATTGGCCCACCTCCCTGTCGCAGTCATGGTGGCCAAAAACACAAACAACTGGGGTAGATGCAACGCAAACTACACTTTATTGCTCTCCTAGTACATTATTTATACAGAGCTTTCCTCGTCATGGCTGCTGCTTATTGGTGAGGACTGCAAAGGCCAATAGCTAGTAACAGAGTTATGATTGGACGATTCTTAGCTTGGCCGGTTTCTACTCCATGGCCAAAACGTCCTTAAACTTGTTAATAACTTTCCACTGTCTCTGTGTGAATTCCCTGTCTCATAGATACACTCTAATCTTTTCAAGGTGAACGTTCTCCACTAAGGGAGCCAGGGATTCCACAGACCTGCTGTAATCCCTGACACCTCCCCATCCAAGCTCAGGAAGCCAGCTGGACCTCCTGGGGGATAAAGAGTGAACACAGGAAATTATTTTCCAGCAAGAAAAATATCTTAAAGCTAGATATCCCACAAAATGATATCTTTAATTTACCTTAAAGCCAGGTTCTGTCTATTCAAGAGCAGCATTTTAAGGTTGTGCACACTCTTGCTCTCTCTCTTCAGCCCCATAAAGCCTCACTTTTTCCATAAGGAAAGACTGAAGAGTTGTAGTGTGTCTGAGAGCAGAGGAGGGCACTCCTGTTTTGTGTATGAATTCGGATTTGTCCCGATCCCCTAGCAGGCACTTATTTCTGTGGCCTAGCTAAGCAACTATGGCCTCCCAACAGGAACAGTGATGGAAGACAATCCACAGAGTTTGTAGAAAATGTTTACTTTATCCATGTTTTGGGGAGGAAAACTGGACATTCATTTCTGACTAACTACTGGAATTTCATTTATTCAGCTTTCTGATTGCATCTTCTCCAGCTGCTGGTCTATAATTAAAGTGAAAAGCACAGGCATGATTCTCAGTTGAGATGCCTAAGGTGTTGAAAGAAGGGGAATCATCCCACAGAAATCACCTGCTGAAGTGATATCAGAAGTGATGCAATACTTCAGGTTGCTACGGCTCTGGTAGAAAAATCACTTAAGACTTCTCCTAATACTAAATTATTCACACTAGTCTTCTCAGTGAGTCTGAGAAACCATTAGTATCTGTGCTGGAAAAGCTAACAGGTTTTTGCACTCCCACTGGATGTATTTTGCTGCCAATCAAGTGCTGATGGCAGCAGCCCCTTGACAGACTCCCTGTCATTGGCAGGTCTGAGCAGTTCTCAGGCCCTGGAATTGCTCTCAACAGGTTGCAATTTTGGGCAACTAGTTTAAGGAAATTAAGTGCTATGACTAACAACTCTGTTGCTGCTCCTGGAGCTAGGTTTTGTCTTTGTACTCCACAGAGTAGACACACCTCCACTTAACCGTGTGCCAAAGGTATCCCAGCACTGGCTTTTGGGAAGTCACTCGAGTTTTCTGGTTGTTCAGGAACATGGATATTAGTGGTCTGTGACAGGCAGAACATGGGAGATGTGCAGACTGCATAGCTGGGAAAAGAGATTTTTTGACAGATAGGACAGAGAGTCCCATCAGCATCCTGGGAACCTAGCGCAGGGGGTCTAAAAAGTGTATGGCAATAAAACACTGGCTGTCAGAAGTAACTGGAACAGCAGTGAGAGAAAACAACTGCTAGCAATCACTGAGCTGCCTTGCGAGCTGCTTTTGAAGGAAGTGAACCTGGGGGCCACATTCACTTTGGTCCAGGGAAAAGGGAAATTTTGCTTTGTGTACACCCTCAGCCTGACATCCTCACTCATGGCGAGTGGTATGCGCCCTGCATCTACACTAACTGCGGGGACACTCAGCACAGATGGAACTGGTGCATGGACTGACCTGACATGGTTACTACCAAGGGCTCACAGAAGAATTACCTGAAGTGGGAGAAGAGCTCCTGGAGATAGGAGTCATGGGTGACCTGCAGGTGCCCATCATTCCTCTTGGAGCAGCTGAAAAGAACACATAGAGAGT